TCAGAGTGCTGAGTGCCAGGCGTAGTGATCTGTAGTTGATACCACTCCATTATATAAAGCTTAACACATTACTAACAAACGTAGTGAATTTTTAACGAATGCTAGCGGTAGCGTTACAGTGTATAAAACGCCGTGTTCACCAGTATAATAGTTACGCAATTGTTGACTATGTGCATGAGGTTGGATTATGTGTTGATCAAGTGAAAGATCGTATTACAGACGCGTATTGTATACATGATATTTTCCTCTTTCGTGACTATATTTAGTTACATTTTCAGCTAAGTTAAAAAATATATAGTGAAATATGATAAAAAATGCATGGATTTCAAAAAATTACAATATTTTTTTTTATAAAAAATTTTCCGCTAATCACGCAATTTTTTGATGTTCCCTTTGGAGTAATTTCGCTGTGAAATCGCAGGAAATGGCCATTCCAGACTTCTAAGTCGGACCCCCGGACCGCCCTAGAATGTGTGGGTCTTAGAGCAGGACTAGTCAAATTTCGCTAGCTACGCCACTGTCAATCAGAGTGGCAGAGTGTGATGTAATCTTGTCGGAAGTGTTATCAAGGGGAAAAACGTATTTGCATACATTATGTCAAGAAATTCGTTTGTAAATTGATGAAAATGTTGATTCAATAAATTTAAGTTAAAATCACCCATTATATAGCAATTTTTGTTTTCACTAGAAATTATGCCAATCAGTGTATTAAGCTTAGAAATAAAATCAGCTATATTTTGGCTAGGTGGTCTATACATCACTCCGACTATCGTATTTTTCCCTTCAGGGTTAACAATTTCAACAAACAAAGATTCAACAGCAAGTGCATTATCAAAACACAAATCATTGCGAATCTTATATTCTAATACCGAAGTGATGTACAAACCAACAGAGAGTTAGTGTCGTTACCTTACTATGTGACTACTCACCCTCCAGCTATTCAAAAACAACATTGACACTCCAAGAGAAGCTGAGATTGAACCTCATTGAGTGTGAGTGTGCTTTTAGAATACAGGCGTTAGTCAACCAAAGCAGCTGTTTTGTTTCTTCTTGATTGAGCATTTACCAAACCTAAAAAGATAAAAGGATTGGGTACTATGAAGGGAGTTAATATCGCAGTTCATTACCTTGGGTCGGTACAACACCAAGGTCATAAATTCGGGTCCCTTTTTTTCATTTTGTGTCGAGCCGTGCACGTAGTTGAAGAGCCTGCAGAGGAGACGACAACTTCCAGTAAATAAGTGTACTTCCGGGAAATTTCGAGCATCGGCCAAAGCAAAACAGAACCCAAAACTGTTCTTGCAAAAAAATCCATCAAAATTTTTTATTTAAAACCAGAATGTGATAATTTTGACATACATGTTTAGCTGGATAACTATTCGAGTATATGTTGATATAATGTACAATACTTTGTATGCATAGCATGGGAATACCGTGGCCAACTTTCACTTGTTTGATACTGCTAAGCATTTTATGGATGGTTCTTACTGTAACTGGTAGACAACAATTTTGCCAACTGTCCACTCATTACATTCTTTGACTATGGTACAACTATTATTAATGATGGATCAGTTATATGCATCTAATTATATTTTCAGTACTTTGATATATTTTAAAAATATCTGAAGTGAATGTCGTTCTGCTATGTGCAATCAACAAATAGACTGATAATATTGTCTGTTAGTGTTACTAAATACAGGATGAAGTAGTGTAGTAGCTATGTATATCATTCACTCATCCCAAAATATCCCAAATAATGAATAAAGACAGTTAAATAATTGCATCAGTAAATTCTCTAAATTGTTCCTGTATTTAACTATTATCAATAAGATGTTAAAACGGAGCTTTGATTGACTGATACGCCATTTATACTAGCGAACTATCAAACTATCGTGATTTACATGATTTTTGCATATTTACCAGATGATGCCCTATCGGCCTATCCACCAACCCGAGGTTAACACCGAGCGAGCGTCTTGTTTAATTTAATATTGGAAGCATTTGGTCCAGGATTAGTTTCACTATCTCATCTTGCAGCAAGATCCGTCTGTAGCCCTGGGAGCATAGATATCTTATATACACTAGATAGCGCATCTCTTTTAGTAAAATGGAAGCCAAGAATATTCCAGCGGTTACCCCCATTTGAATAGATGGCGGCCATGTTGGTCGTTCCCACTTGCTAATAAACGCTTAAAAACAACAATGACTTTCATCACTTGAATAGTTTAAAAACGTATTTGGCATAGGGTTAACTTCATGTTTAAGTTCCGTGTTTGAGAAATAGAAAATATACGAATCTTCTCATTTCATGGGAACGACCTGAGACTGCAATCACGGCTTCAATTTTTGAATTGCAGAATAATTAGATGCACTATCTAGTGTATATAAGATATCTATGCCTGGGAGCCATTAGAATAATAAATCATATGCGTATAGAATATGTAATCAAGCTGCGAGAGAATAAAAGGCGATAATCAGAGAGACACTCAAGCAGAACGAACGAACTCGTGTTGAAGTAGAACCGATTAAGGAGTGGTCTACACACTGATAGAATAACTTGATAAAGTAAAACGAAAGAAATATACGTTATCAAAGTCGCACTTTACATTATATGGGAAAGGTGGATCTTCAATGATCAAATGCTCTGGTATATAGTCTTCAGTGACTTGAGCAATACACTACGTGGGTCTTCAATGATCAAACGCTCTGGTATAGTCTTTTGTGACTTGAGCAACACACTCAGCTGTAAACGTGTGAAGACGAAGTTATTTGGAGATCGGTGTAGTGGAATTGAAAGCGGGGACCGTTATCAAAACCCTGGTAAACTTAACGAGCGCTCTGAAAATCGGGATTGTCAGGACTAGCTGAAGAAACAACGGGAAGGAACAACTCGCCAAAGGACACAAGTATCGTAGCTTGAGAGACAGTTAACAACAATATAGGATTTACACTGTGACAGTTTTAGTTTTTAGTTATATCAATAGTTATATATTTAGTTATATTTGCCGACACCCACACAGGCGGATTTAAATTCGTCACACCGTCGTGACACATACATGTTTGCATAGTATAGACAGTAACTATAGGATCTTTTAAGTTTTTTATGAGTAAATATTATTGTTGCAAAGTTGGTAGTAACACGGAAGGTATGATAAATTTTGTACACAATCATGGTCAGCAATAGATTCTCTTTCAAAATTAGTGAAAGAGAAGTGGGAAAATAATAGTAAAACACATAGCAATAAGACTTGTGCACACCACATTGTCACAGCATGAGATTTTCAGGTCAGGTAGTCGTTAGCAAAGGTCTAGTAGTTCAAATGCAATAAATGTAGACAATGTACAATACATGAAAAGTCAAATAAATCGCGAATAATCCATCAATGTTAACAATAATAGGTCAAAACATAACAAGTAAACAGACAAACAAACACGATTCTAATCAATAAATTTACAAACAAGCAGCACAAAAGATAAATCCACTAAGCCACAAGAGCATTGTGTTTTAATTGATACTAAATTAGTATCACTCCAATGAGAAATGAGGTAGAATAAGATAACAATTTACAGACATGGGTACTTCACTCTCTGCCTAGTCATTCATATAAGCCTCCCATGTTCTGTAAAGCAATGTTTTCAAGAGAGAGTAAGTCAGGATGGAAAACCAGCTGACGCCATACTATATTATAACAACAGGGATATTGCAAAAAATAAAGTTGGCATGCAAAAAAACATGAGGGGGTTTTACCATCCAAATAAGGCGTGCCTGAGAAAAGAATGCCTGAAGTCACTGGATTATCTATACGAGGAGAACAAAACACACCTATGTTGCAGTGTGTGTGAGAAGGCCTGCAAGTATTCAGAGTGCTGGGAACAAGTAATTGAAGACTGTCAGGAATTATAAACTTGATTCAAATTCCCTACCAATTACTCTCTTCGAAGGTCTTGAATCTCTCAAGTCTCCAAAAACGATCCTCTCATCGTTTAAAGAAGACTTATGCGAATGGAAGAGGACTTTCGGTCAATATTCTAGTAGAGTCAATTTATGAAAAATATGGCCTAACCCCAAAAAAATTGCAAGCAAACATTTTATTGTGTTTTCCTGTAGTATTGGGTCTTGTGAACAACATATCAAAAGTTTAGGAAAATTTAGGTCACAGAAAGGGTAAAAATGTGACGTCATAAACAAGATGGCCGCCAAATCATAATATTGGCTATATCTCGCTTCATATTTTCATATTTAACATAGGGTGACAATATTGGTGTCTAGCTATAGGTTTTAGGGTTCAAGGAATCAATTAAGTCTATTCATGAGGTTGTAGGGGAATTGCATCATGGGAAATCCAAGATGGCCACCACAACAGCCCCAAATTATGTTATTGGCCATAACTCAGTTGATATTAAACATAGGATAACATGTATCGGAACAAGATATTATGTATCGGAACAACTGAAGAATGTACAGGTAAGTTTAATTACTATTGGAAAGATAATTTAATCCATTTCAGGCACTTGATAAGGAAGCCATGTGGATTTCTTAGAAATGTGTTTTGACTATGTGTCGCGTTTCCAATACAGCACGAGGAGGTTGTTGCTGTACCAAATTCACATTTATAACCACTCTGATGTGTGAGACTACTCCATTTTAAAGTTTTATTAACAACAAAACACGTATACAAAGCGGTAAAAACTAAGAATAATACAAAGAAAAATCCGTAAATAAAGGCTTTAACTATCACCATACTATAGGAATTAATAGTGGAATACATCGGCTTCACTTACTTCTGATTTTCGACATAAAAAATATTTAAAAACGGTCTATTTACTATAAAAGCTTCAATTCTCAACGAAAGCGATCATGCGAACCGTTTGTCAGCGGTATCAAGTTCTATCTGATAACAGTACGTAATGTAAACATCATTAAACGTCTCACTATGGGAGGCCAATAATGCAACGAATGTTGGTTCCTTGATTTTTTAAACGAATTTTAAATCTCGAAGATGAGTGCAAGCCAGGAAACATGCCCTTTTTGCGAAAAGGGATTTGGAAGTGAAGAAACAGTGGTGATAGGCAAGAAAGGAGCTGACGGTATCAACAACGCAAGTGACAAGAGAGGCGATAATATCATTGTGGCACCTAAAACCAGAGTGCAAAAGTCATGCTGTGCGAATTATATCAACCAAAATTACATAGACTTGCATAAGAAAACTAATCAATTAGAGTGCACGCCGTCTGTCGTCAAAAGAAGTGCACGTGTTTCTGTTGGACCATATGATAGCAGCACAGACTGTTTATACTGCGGAAATAAGGTTGTGAAGTTTAAATTTGGGGTTAAAAATGACGACTATGGATGTGTTAAAACAGACTGCTTTGCAGACACAATATTATCAATCTGCAAGACACGTGCTGATGAATGGGCATTTACTGTCCAAGGACGCGTTCAATATTATGGTGGAGATCTACACGCAGCTGACTGTTTGTATCATCGTTCTTGTGACATAAATTTCCGCACGTTGCGAGATATTCCAAAGCAGCACAGAGTAGGCCCCAGTGAAAATAAACGATGCCGGAAACTTGGAAGACCAAGGGACACAGACCAGGAAGAAGCATTTTTCAGGATGTGTGCTTTCTTTGAGGACAATGACGAAGAACAATTGAGTATTACCGACCTTGCAAATAAAATGGAGGAGTATCTGCATGAAAGTGAGTGTGGTGCTTACGGGAATCAGTATCTAAAGTGTCAGCTAATGAAACACTATGGAGATTCAATATTTGTAGCTGAGGGCGATGGATTGCAAGACATTGTGACGTTTCGTGAAAGAACTGGACGAATCCTCCGAGGTTATTTTCACCTGCCAAAGAAGGAGGATGAGGAAGCACAGAAGAGAGATATAATTGAAACTGCTGCTAGACTCATTAAGAGTGACATTAAATGTATGGTCACCCCAGTTAGTGATGAATATCCGAAGACTTGCAAACTCAAACTTGAACCTTCCTTAGAATTCGTCCCAGAGAGCTTGCGTTTGATGTTACAGCTCCTTTT